CGCGGGCTCAGGCAATCCACTCACCTCAGCCTCCCAAAGGCGCGGGATTACAGCCTGAGCCACCGAGCCCGGCTGAGAGGATTTCTTGAGTCCACGGGTTCGAGAGCAGCCTGTGAAACTTGGCGAGACCTCGTCTCTACAATAAATGCAAAAATTAAAGGCCAGGCGTGGTGGCTCATGCCTGTAATCCCATCACTTTGGGAGGCCGAGGCGAAAGGGTTACCTGAGCCCATGGATTTAAGACCAGCCTGGGCAATTTGGCGAGACCTCGTCTCTACAATAAATAAAAAAATTAGCCAGGCATGGTGGTGCACACCTGTGGTTCCAGCTACTTGGAAGGCAGAGGCGGAAGGCTTGCCGGAGTCTAGCAGGGCAGGCCGCAGTGGCCATGAGTGTGCCACTGCATTCCAGCCTGGGCGACAGAGTGAGACTCCAACTCATAAGCAAACACAAAAAATACCATTTCCTCTGCAAACCTGCCTTGAACTCCCAAGTCTGGATTAGATGGCTCTTCTGGTTTTTTCTTCTGTTTCATTAAACATTTATTATCCCTTATCCACAATGACCCTGTTTTCCTAAGTGCTTTTGTGGCAGCTTATTCTTACCCTTATTATTTTCTGTTTTCTTCATGAGAATGCAGACTCCCTGAAAACCTTGCTCAGTGCCTGGGTCCGTAGTAGGCGATTAGTAGAGTTGTAGAATGAATAGAGTGAATTAATTATACTCTCATTTCCTAGTAAAAGTTTCCATCCTGGGACCACACAGAATACAGGAGCATAGACAGCTCTTTCCTTCCGCTCAGGCATATTCATATCCACCGTGTCTCTCTTCGTGGTTATGATTCGTTTCTTGGGGTTCATTCCACCCCACTTCATGCCACTCAGGTCCCTGGGAAGGCCTTTTTTCTGGAGTAGGGCTGAATCCAGGCTGGACTCAAAGCCGCCTCTCGGTTCCTGGCTCCAGACCAGTGAATTCCTGCAAATGAGCCTCCTTGCCAGCAGGTGGCACCTGAAGCCTGAAAGTCGAACCAGACTCTGCTCTCTCCTCCCTGCGTTGATCTCGTGGGGTCAAGTAACCCTGCTTGGGCTTGCAGCGGATGGCCTGGCCACGGGTCCTGGCTCCCGGCTCCCAGGCTGCCATCTCTTCGTCCTTGTCTGGTAGCAGGAATTGCCTGGCCCTCTCCTTTGCTCTTGATTTCCAACCAGAGTTCAAACTAGGTGGGGCACTAAAAGCGATTCAAATGATGGCTTTTGTGGGGACCAAAGGGAGGCCCAAACTTTACCTGTATGATGTCCACATGTATACCTAATCCTGAATTGTACCCCTGAATTTTATCTTTAAAATAAAATTTAAAAATAATAATGGTTTTTCTTTTTGAGTCTCACTCTGTCGCCCAGGTTGGCGTGTAGTGGCATGCTCATGGCCACCGCAGCCCCGACCTGCTGGGCTCAGGCGGTCCTTCCGCCTCAGCCTTCCAAGTAGCTGGAACCACAGGCATGCGATACCATTCCTGGCTAATTTTTTTTGTTTGTTTTTGAGTTGGAGTCTCACTCTGTCACCCAGACCGGAGTGCAGTGGCCGCTCCTGGCCAACGCAGCCTCAACCTGCTGGGCTCCGGTGATCCTTTGGCCTCAGCCTTCCAAGTAGCCGGAATTACAGGCATGCGCTACCATGCCCGGCTGATTTTTTGATTTATTGTAGAGATGAGGTCTCGCTGCCCAGGCGGGTCTCGAACCTGCGGGCTCAGGCAATCACTCACCTCAGCCTCCCAAAGGCGCGGGATTACACCTGGCTAATTTTTGTATGTATTGTAGAGCCATGTTGCCCAGTCTGGTCTCGAACCCTAGACTCAGGCAATCTTCTTGCCTCTGCATCCCAAAGTGCTAGGATTACAGGCGTGAGCCACCATGCCTGGCCTAGACTGTTTCTTCTTTTTTTTTTAGTTGGAATCTCACTCTGTTGCCCAGGCTGTAGTACAGTGGCATGCTTATGGCCACCATAGCCTTGACCTACTGGGCCCAGGCAATCCTTCCACTTCAGCCTTCCAGGTAACTGGAACCACAAGCATGCACCACCATGCTCGGCTAATTTTTTTATTTATTGTAGAGATAAGGTCTCGCCAAGTTGCCCAGGCTGGTCTCTAACCTTGGGCTCAGGCAATCTTCCTGCTTCCGCCTCCCTAAGTGTGAGGATTACAGGCATGAGCTGCTGCACCCGGCTGATTGTGTACGTTCTTTTTTTTTTCTTTTTTTGAGTTGGAGTCTCACTCAGTCACCCAGGCTGGAGTGCAGTGGCACACTTACGGCCACCACAGCCTCGACTTGCTGGACTTGGGCGATCCTTCCGCCTCAGCCTTCCAAGTAGCTGGAACTACAGGTGCATACTACCATGCCTGGCTATGTGTACATTCTTAAGTCCCCTTTTTCTTAGCAATGCTCTCCACATTCTCCCAGCTTGTCTTCCTGGATGATGCTGAACCCAAATTCCAGGAAACCTTAAATCCTGGGTTCTCTCTGAGTTTCTCTCCCTGAAGCCTTCTGAACTAGAACTGGAGTAGAAGTTGTTTTTGTAAGCAGAGAACAATAAAAAGGTAGAGAATGGCTGTGGGTGGAGGGATTTGTTGAGGCATTGCTTTTATCACTTACGCTGTCCATGAGTTATTTTATTTATTTAGAGTCACAGACTCACTCTGTCACTCAGGCTGGAGTGCAGTGGCATGAACATGGTTCACCACAGCCTCAACCTCCTAGACTCTGGCGATCCTTTCGCCTCAGTCTCCCGTATAGCTGGGATTGCAGGTGTGTGCCACCATGCCCAGCTAATTTTTTAATTTTTTGGTAGAGACAAGGTCTATGTTGCCCAAGGCTGCTCTTGAACTCCTGGGCTCAAGTGATCCTCTCGCATTGTCCTCCTAAAGTGTTGGGATTACAGGTGTGACCCACTGCAGCACCTGGCCTGTCCAAGAGTTACTCACAAAAATGACACTGAATTACAGTAGTGTGTTGGGCAGTAGGCAGGTGGTCCTTGGGAGGCAAAAGAGAGGCTACTACTCTTATCTGCAAGAGTATCAAGGAGGGCTTCTTAAGGGGGGGGCAGTTTGAGTCATTTTTTTTTTTTGAGTTGGAGTCTCACTCTCACCCAGACTGAAGTGCAGTGGCCGCTCCTGGCCACCGCAGCCCCGACCTGCTGGGCTCCGGCGTTCCTTCCGCCTCAGCCTTCCAAGTAGCTGGGACTACAGGCGTGCACTACCACGCCCGGCTAATTTTTTGATTTTATTGTAGAGATGAGGGCTCGCCAAGTTGCCCAGGCGGGTTTCGAACCCACGGGCTCAGGCAATCCACTCATCTCAGCCTCCCAAAGCGCGGGATTACAGGCTGAGCCATCGAGCCCGGCTAGAGTCGAGTCTTAAAGGAGGAGGAAAGGCTTATTCGGTCTTGCTTAGAAGAAACAATTTTAATAAAAAAACAAAGCACGGTGGCTCTGCCTGTAATCCCAGCACTTTGGGAAACCGCGGGTTCGAGACCTGCCCGGGCAACCTGGCGAGACCTCATCTCTACAATAAAATCAGAAATTAGCCAGGCGTGTCAGCATGCACCTGTAGTTTCGGCTACTTGGAAGGCTGAGGCGGAAGGATCGCCAGAGCCCAGCAGGTAGAGGCTGCGGTGGCTGGGAGCGGCCACTACACTTCAGTCTGGGCGACAGAGTGAGACTCCAACTCAAAAAAAAAAAAAAAAAAAGCAAAGCACAAATCAACCTTGTGTGTTCCCAAATTCTCCCCAGCTCATCTCCAAACTCTGCCCACGAAAATCTTAGCCTACTCACATGCCACCTTGCCCAAGGACTTCTCCCTTGGGGGACTCTGGTCTCTTCTGGGTGACTTAGCTTGTAGGTGTCACCTGCACATTTCACCTATTGTGCCAAACTGTAGCTACCATGTCTTCTTGAGCGCCTGGACACCCTCTGCTTCCTCAGGCACTCCTAGGAGCTGATGGAGTTCATGTGGAATTCCATGTACCTGTGACAGGAACCCTTGACCCTGGGTTTCCAGTTGTTGAAATGCTCTGGTTTTCAGCCTCAGTGAACCCAGGCCATTCAGGCTCTTTCAGGCTGTAGAAAGAAGGTTTGGGGAAAGAGTGATTTTGGGATTCTGGGACAAATTTAGGAAAAGCTCACATTTTGCTTATGCCTCAGGCCTGAGCAAGGTGAAGCCTCCATTTGGATGGCAGGGATACCAAGAGGGGAAAGGGTAGAATACAGATGTGGTGGGAGAGTGGCAAACTCCTTTGAGAGATAACCCAATATTCCAGAGAGGATGTTCGACTGCTCTGGAGCAAATGCTGGGGTTAGCACCTTCCTTGTGGAGCCACAGGTGTGGAGTCAGGCCTCTGCTTTTCTCTGGCCATCAAGCACTCCCGGCCAACATTCAGAGGTAGTCACCTCACAGGAAGCACTGAGTTTTTAGTGTGGTGGTTCTCTTATGTTATCCACATCAGGGAGACACTGCCTGGAGGTCCTGGAGGCGCCAGAGAATCTGGAGGAGAGTAAAGCCCGGAATCTTGGACCTGGATGAAACTTTAGAGCCCATTTGATTCAACTCTGCCATGTTACAGAGAGAACACACGGGAAATGACTGGCTGAAGACCACACTAACTTAGTGAAAACTGGGATTAATATCCAGCATGGGTTGCCATGGTTCTTAAAATGTAGGTCTGCCATACCAGATGACTCCTCACACACCCCACCACATCTTGGTTTCCGATCGTAGGGCATAAATAAGGACTGTGTACCCGGACTCAGAATGAAATGCTCACCGAACTGTGCAGGGACAGTGCCACTACTCACCTCCAAATGCCTTCACTTTTTGTCTGTGCCTGAAATTGCCTTTTATCAGAAAGAACCAGAATCTGGTAGGAAGAAAATGGGCCTGCTGCTAGCAGGATCTCAAACCCAGGGAGATGTGTAATGAAAAGGGCCCAGAGCATCCAAAAATAAGAGAGACAAGAGTCTTTGGGGGTATTTATTGCAAACTACTATGTAATTAAAGTGACATTTTACAAGTATTTAAGACACAGGGCAGACAGGCTCTGAGCCAGGCCTCAGCTTCAGAGATCCACTCCCGGAGGGGAGATGGCACTTGCAGGAAACATGGACTCAATCATGGTTGCTCATTAAACACAGAGTCATGGTGGAGTCATCGCATAGAGCCCGAGAGATGAGTGGAGAGAGCCTCGAAGCAATGACTTAAAATTTCGAATCTTGCTCTGCTGTGAGCACACTACCTTTCTGGAGCAGATGTGGAGCTACCCCAGTGGCCATACAGACCCCTCCTCTGGCCCAGGCTTCTTGCCAGTTCAGGGTGACTGGGTCATCTTCTCTGACTTCCTTTTGCCTGCCAGAGATTTTCCCAAATTGTAGCTTAAAAATACCAGTAGGAGGAGAGGCAAGGAATGTTCTTGTTAATATAAATCCACAGCAAACATGACTTGAGAACTGGATGTTTCCCAGGGCTGGCAGGTGTGCGGATGGTTCCCTGCATTCTTTATCCATAGGGCGCCTGAATGGGTAGTGCTGCTGAAGATGCCAAATGTCTGAGCTTTTAAGACTTGTTCATGTTTTTGACAACCTATGGGGATAATCACTGGGCAGAATCAGAGCCTAGTGGAACCGGGACAGGGGAGGGGTGACAAGGGGAAACCAGCAGAATCCTGAGGTCATTCCTAGGAGGAAGGAAGCACTATACCCAGGAGCAGCAGCACGAAGGGCTATGCTGAGGCTCTGCTCAAGGGGGTCCAGGGTGCTTGGGGTGGACAGGTAGCCCCCTCTTGCAGTTCTGGGTTACTATTTGGGCAACGCGAAGTCCCAGGCAGTTTCCTGTGCACATTTCCACATGGCCTGCATGAGGCGGGTGAAGCCCATGTCTTTGGGCTTTTCTAGGCCTCTCATCAGCCGCTGCTTCATGATGGAAACAAATTCCTTATTGCTCAGTTCCCCATTGCCTAGAAGAAGAAACAAGCAAACATGGGTGAGTGGAGGCCTGGGAACAAAGCCACTGAGAAAACTCCACTGTTCATACAATATGGGTTCTGTACTCTTACAGCCACACTCAATGCTCTTGCCCTGGAACTAACTAGCTTGCTCCTTCCTTGACATTTCCGATCACAACTCAGTGACAGTTCAGTGTAGTGTGACAAGAGCTGAATGAGAATACAGCATGTGCCAGGTCCTGTGCCAAGTGTTGAGAATAAAGAGATAAACAAGCTTTGTGCTTTGTCCCCTGAAATATTCCCAGGTTGTGGGAGAGACAAGTTATTTCAACAGTGAGCTAAGTGCTGTAACGGGGTAATCAGAGGATGCTGTGGGGCCACAGAGGAAGAATATCTGATCCAGCCTGGGGCTAGTACAAAGACAGACCAGTGAAGCTTTCCTAGAAGTGACTCCTGAGTTGAATCCCAAAGGATTAGCAGGAATTGGCCAAGTAACAAGGAGGAGATGGGGAAGTCTTCCAGGTGGCAGCAGCATAACCGAGGGCACAGGGAGGAGGCAGCGAGGCTGCTGAGAAATACAAGTGGTCAGGAACTCTGGATGCTGCGGGGGAGGGGTGGGTATAGCAAGGAGCTAAAGGGGTAGGCGGGAGACAGGTCCCCAGGTCCCCAGGGCCTGTATTCCTGCTGAAGAGCGGGTACTTTATCTTCCACGCAAGGAAGCACCTGAAAAAGACTGAAAGCAGGGGTATAAGATAGTCAGAGTTCCGTTTTTTTTTGAATTGGAGTCTCACTCTGTCACCCAGGCTGGTGGTCCTTCTGCCTCAGCCTTCCAAGTGGCTGGAACCACAGACGCATGCCACCATGCCCAGCTAATTTTTTGTGATTTATTGTAGAGACGAGGTCTCACTAGGTTGCCCAGGCTGGTTTTGAACCCCCGGGCTCAGGAAATCCCCTTGCCTCAGCCTACCAAAGCCGCGGGATTACAAGCTGAGCCACAGTGCCCAGTCTAGATTTCCATTTTGAACAGATTTCTCTGGCTGGATGAGTGAGGATGGACTGGTGGGCGGCACAGCTGGAGTAAGAGAGTCAGTGAGGAGGCTGCTGCAGTTGTCTTGCTGCTGCAATAGAGATGAGGAGGAGTTTTTATGGCGAAAACTATGATCAAAATCTGGTTTTGGGTTATGCCTGTTTTCTCATGGTTTCCCAGTCCACACTTTTCATGTCAGACTTGCAGGACCAGAAGAGGCTTTGGAGAGCATCTGGGTTAACCAGAGATCACCCAAGCCACATGGAACAGTAACCACTCTAACAGCAGAGGAACAGCTACCCTTTGATCAGAAGCCCAGGTGTAAATGTCTGCTGATTAAAAAAATGGCACTCACCACTGGGGGTGGTAAGACAACAGAAAACCAATAAACATACTTCTACGAATGATTAGTCTGGGGAGAGAATGGAAAGACAATAAATAGGTTACTTCTGTAAAGTACCCCAAAACCTCAACTGGTCCATGTTTTCTGGCTGAAGACAGCATGAGCAGCAGCCTCAGAGATAGGATACCTCACAGCAAGATTTAATTTAGTTCCCCCACCCCTGGAAAAAAGCCCTTGGCTTCTTTATGGAAAGTACAAAAACAGGTAAAGTATGGTACTAGAAGACAGGAAAGTGATAACCCTTGGGGAAGGAAGTGACCAGAGTACCAATGGGGGCTCTGTGGTCCTGGTAATATTTTCAGATAATGTTGGTTACATGGATGTGTTCAGTTTCTTTCATCAAACCGCACACGTATGATATTTGTACTTTTCTGTACGTCTATACTTCAATATAATAAAAAGTTGACAAATAGCCTGGTTTGGGTAAGAAATAATGAATAATGTGGTTTATCAAGAATGTGATTGCCAGATGCAGCACTTTGGGAGGCTGAGTAAGAGGAATGTCTGAGCCCTTGAATTCGAGGCCAGCCTGGGCAACTTGGCGAGACATCTCTACAATAAATAAATAAATAAATAAAATTACCGGGCATGGTGGTGCGTGCCTGTGGTTCCAGCTACTTGGAAGGCTGAGGCAGGAGGATCGCCTGAGCCCAGCAAGTTGAGGCTGTGGTGGCTGTGAGTATGCCACTGCATTCCAGCCTGGACAACAGAGTGAGACTCCAACTCAAAAAAAAATAAAGACCTCATCGCCACAAAAAATATAATTTGCTAGCCAGGCTTGGTGGCTCAGCCTGTAATCCTGCGCTTCGGGAGGCTGAGGTGAATGGATTGCCTGAGCTCGTGGGTTCGAGACCCGCCTGGGCAACTTGGTGAGATCTCATCTCTATAATAAATAAAAAAATTAGCTGGATGTGGTAGCATGCGCCTCTAGTTCCAGCTACTTGGAAGGCTGAGGCGGAAGGATCGCC